CGCCATTCTGAACGACTAGAGCAAGCGCGCCAGACCTGAATTATTGCAAATGTTGCAGTGGGAGCTTCATTTGTTTTAAACAGCTGCCGATCACTGCCGATCAGTTTGTCTGGAAGCTCAGTGCGTGGGAGAGTATGGGGGGCGAGAGAAACGTACTATTCATATCCAGGTCCAGGTGCTTGCGGCCAAGCCGCCACCGTGCCAGCGAAGCATTCTTTGTGTGGACTTCCGAGCACCACCCGAAAGAGCGTCACCTGCGACGCTTGTCGTGTCGATTCCTCGGGGAGCTCTCCTGGGGCGTACTGGGGTCGCCTTGGGGTCGTCTTGGAGTTGCTTTGTGCGGAAGCCTGTGGTGCAGCCTTGGGGGTCTCCCTTGGGTCCTCCTGGGCCGTCTTGGCCGTCTGGGAGGTCTCAGGTGGCTGTCGTGGGGCCCGCAAGAACTCGTGGTGAGAATTTTGCGTGTTGCGTTGTTGTTGTTGTTGTTGTTATTGTTGTTGTTGCTGATGAACTTTCATGTCTGAAGAATAATTATATTATTGTTGTCCCCCCCCATCCGGTGCACATTGTTTTTTTGTTCGATTGAAGTGCTCTTCCTGGGGCTCACCTTGTTTTCTATCAGGGAAAGTCTTGAGGGTCAAACTGTGTCGTTGGCCCCCGGTTTACAACAGCAACGGCTCCTGCCTGATATGTCCTCACAATTTATTGAAAAATCGCGCCTTCGCTTGGGACTTCCTAGCCATTTACCACCGGATCGGGGCTCCCGCTTGATATTCCCGCACAGTTTGTTGAAGAATCGCGCTCTCACTTGGGGCTTCCGCGCTCCTCTCGACACGGTTGCAGTTCTCACTCGCCTTCCGCCCCGCTCTCCCGACATCCCGCTTCTTTTCAGGGTTCCGCGAAATTTGCTTCTGACACCAGTTCGCAGCTGTACGTCCCTCCTTGGGGGTATCCACGATATGTTCTTTCGAGGGGGTGGTAGGTGGCGCTGTTGATGGCGCGCCCCATGGCGAAACTTTTTTGTGTTGGAGTGGCCGGCGCGAGACATGGCGCAAGTTGAACCGACACTCGCAGCGCAAATCATCGACCTCCATCCTTCTTGCCCCTCCCCTCCCTTCCTCCGATCCCTTCGCCCTCATTCCCCCCCGTTATCTGTTACCCTTCGTTTTCAAGGGTTTCGCCAAACACACGTGGCAGGGAATGAATATTCCCCGAAAAAAAGGGTACGATCGAAGACGCAAACAAATGGCGGGTATCCAGGGTTTCGCACATGCATATTGAATGACACGTGAGCGGATAAGAACGAACAGTATTAAACTTATTGGTTTTGTTTTTGTGAGCGTTGTTGATGTTGTTGCTGATGTTGTTTTTGTTGTTTTTGTTGTTGTTGTTGTTGTTGTTGTTGTTGTTGTTGTTGTTGGTGTTGGTGTTGGTGTTGTTGTTGTTGAATGTAAAGCACTGAACAGTTATTTTTGTTGGACCCCTTGAAGGCGCCCTGGCGCTTTCGCCGATGCGCCGGCCACATTTCCATTGAAAATGGAATTCATGGTCGAGCGGTTTGGGGGACCGACAAAACCGGCCGCCTAACAACAACAACGCTCCCGCTCGATACCTCCTCCTTTTTATTCAGGGCTGGCGTTCTTGCTCGCCGCCGACAGCCGCCATCCTAACAAAATCAACACTCCCGCTCGACATGTCCTCCCATGCTATTCTAAACTAGCACACGATTTTTTCTCGCATCGGCGCCGCCCCCAGCAAAAACAACGTTCCCGTTCGAGGCGTCCTCCCTTTTTTACTCAAGGCGGTGCTCCTCCTCGCCGCCGAAAACCGCCGCCCCGACAAAACCAGCTTTCCCGCTCGATGCTTCCTTCCTTCTTACTCAAGGCGGTGTTCCTCCTCGCTGCCGCAAGCCGCCCCGACAAAACCGTTTTACGTTGGACTGGCGCCGTATTTTCTTTTGACTTGGCGCCGCTCCCAGCAAGAACAAAGCTCCCGCTCGAAGCTTCCTTTCTTCATGAAAATTGTGATGTTCCTCGCCACCGACAACCCCCGTCCCGACAAAACCACGGCTCCCGCTCGATGCTTTATCCTTGCGTATTCAAGGCGGTGTTCTTCATCGCCGCCGCAAGCCGCCGTCCCAACAAAACCAGCGTTTCCGCTCGAGACGTCGTTTTGTTTGACGCTGGAGTGGTGCCCTACTCTCTTCAGCATTGGCGCCGCTCCCAGCAACAACAGCAGCCCTGTTCGAGACCTCCTCCCTCTCTGTTCACGGCCAGGTCTTTGCCTCACCGCCGACAGCCCCAATTCCCACCAAGGCAATCAAGTCGTTCGATACTTCCTTGTGCTTTACCCTTCGCTGGTGGTCTCGCATCGGCGCAGCAAGGCGCGGGCATGTGTTTTCGAGGCGGGATATGTTGAGATTCCTCGGCGGAGGTATTTTCAAGACCTCATTGGGCGGAAGATCAGGGAAGGGAAATAACGGACCCCGCTATAGAACAAGAGTCCCCCATGATGTGGATGGTTATCATGATGGTCGCATGCTTCGTGTGGAAACATCGCGCATGAGGGTAAACTGATTGTTGAAGTTGACGCACTAACCAATTATTATTGTTGGAGCCCTTACAGGCGCCCTGGCGCTTTCGCCGAGGCGCCGGCTACATGTTCATTGAAAATGAGGCTCACGCTCGAGCGGTTCGGGGAACCGCCAAAACCTGCCCCCCAACAACAACAACGCTCCCGCTCGAGACTTCCTCCATTTTTACTCAGGGCTGGTGTTCTTGCTCGCCGCCGAAAGCCGCCGTCCTAACAAAACCAGCTTCCGCTCGAGACATCCTCCAGTTTTGCCTTGGACTGGCGCGCTAGTTTTTCTCTCATCGGCGCCGCCCCCAGCAAAAACAAAGCTCCCGCTCGAGGCGTCCGCCTTTTTTTACTGAAGGCAGTGCTGCTCCTCACCGCCGAACGCCGCCGCCCCGACAAAACCAGCGCTCCAAACCGAGATTTCCTTCCGTTTTACGCTGGGTTGGCGCCCTACTCTTTTTTGATTTAGCGCCGCTCCCAGCAAGAACAAAGCTCCCGGTGGAGGTTTCCTCCTTTTTTCCTGAAGATGCTGTTGCTCCTCGCCACCGACAACCCCCGTCCCGACAAAACCATTGCTCCCGCTCGATGCCTCCTCCCTTCTTACTCAAGGCGGTGTTCCTCCTCGCGGCCGAAAACCGCCGCCCCGACAAAACCAGCGTTCCCGCCCGAGACTTCCTTCCTTTCTACGCTGGACTGGCGCCTTATTCTGCTTTGAATTGGCGCCGCTCCCAGCAAGAACAATGCGCCCGCTCGAGATTTCGTTTTTGTTCCTCGGGACGGTGCTGTTCCTCGCCGCCGACAGCCCCCGTCCCGACAAAACCACGGCTCCCGCTCGATGCCTCCTCTTTTCTTACTCAAGGCGGCGTTCCTCCTCGCCGCCGAAAGCCGCCGTCCCAACAAAACCAGCGTTCCCGCTCGATGTTTGTTACGCTGGGGTGGCGCCCTACTCTCTTCAGCATTGGCGCCGCTCCCAGCAACAACAGCAGCCCTGCTCGAGACTTCCTCCCTCTCTATTCAGGGCCAGGTCCTTGTCTCACCGCCGACAGCCCCCATCCCCACCAAGGCAATCCGGTCGTTCGATACTTCCTTGTGCTTTACCCTTCGCTGATGTTCCACTGGCGGTCTCGCATCGGCGCAGCAAGGCGCGGGCATGTGCTTTCGAGGCGGGATATGTTGAGATTCCTCGGCGGAGGTATTTGCAAGACCTCAATTGGCGGAAGATCAGGGAAGGGAAATAACGGACCCTGCTATAGAACAAGAGTCACCCATGATGTGGATGATTATCATGATGGTCGCATGCTTCGTGTGGAAACATCGCGCATGAGGGTAAACTGATTGTTGCTTTTGTTGCTGCTGCTGTTGTCGTTTGTTGTCGTCGTCGTCCCACCCGCGACCCACCCGCGACCCACCCCGCGACCCACCCCGCGACCCACCCCGCGACCCACTCCGCGACCCACCCGCGACCACGGGGCCCACCCGCGACCCACCCCGCGACCTTCCCGCGACCCAACGCGACCCACCCGCGACCCACCCCGCGACCGACCCGCGACCCACCCCGCGACCCATCCGCGACCATCCCGCGTCCCATCCGCGACCCACCCCGCGACCCACTTGCGACCCACCCCGCGACCCACCCTCAAAGAAGGAAGAACCACCCTGACCCGACACTTGACGTTTACTAAACGGCCCAGGGCGTTGACTAAACAGCCCTGTCCTGTTCGATTCTTTCCTTGTGTGCGTTTGCTAAACGGCTTTGCTTGCCAGGGTGATGGTTATGGTATGGACTTGTTGCCCTCTACACCCGCGACCCAACAGCGACCCACCCGTGACCCACCCGCTACCCACATGCGACCCACCCGCGACCTACCCACATTGGCTTAACGGAAAAAGCGGCACCTGCGGCGGGCTCATTATATAGTTTGTGAAAGTTTGGCGCCTGCGGCCGGCTTCTCCAGAGTCTCGTAAATTGCCGACGTCCCCACCGCCCCTTACTCTTATCCGCATCTGCGGGGTGCTACGTATGACACATATTCATTCGTACAAGAAGATGACATGCATTGCAACATACCTATGTTCCTGCACCGATCCCGTGGCACAAATATTGTATTTGCTTGGCGATGTTGGGGTTGTTGTCTTGGGCCTGGCAGGCGGTGTGAGCAGTACAGGTGTTGCGTCGCGGTGATGATTCTCATGAAGGTTGAGGATCAACTCATGATCTCGTTTGCCTGTTGTTCCTTCGGCTCACATTGCTGATTCACACCAGTGACTGTTCCTAGTGGCCACCAGATTATTTGAAACAGATCAATTGTCTGAATGTTGTGCTCTGTTTCGCCGCCAGATCGGACAGAGAGAACTGCGGAAAGAGAGAGAGAGAGAGAGGACGGCGACGGCGACTACGACGAGGGGGAGCCTTGTTGGCTCGAACCATTTCTGTCGCGGTCGCAGGGGCCGCTGCGCAGCGCCGCATGGCATCGGCGTTGCTGGCCTTCTGAGAAGTCTGAGGCTTCTGCACCGCCTCCCCATCACATCTCCTTCTTCTTCTTCTTCCGCTGCTCCCCCCTCCCCGTCTCCCGCGCGTCCCCCTTGCAATTTCTACCTTCCAATCCCCATCGCCCATTTCCCTCTCCCTCCTTCCATCCCTCCTACTGCTGCTGCTGCTGCTCCTCCTCCTCATCATCATCATCATTCCCCTCCGCCCGCTTCTCCTCATCCTTTTCCCTGCTCTCTCTCTCTCTCTCTCTCAGTCCGCCGACTTCCCTCTCGAGACAGGTTGCTGTTGGGAAGCGGTCGAGACCCCCAGCGGGGCCATTCCACAAAAGATTTGACGCCGGAAGAGATGGTAAAACGCGGGCGCTCTTGGATTGTGGACTGGTGGGGCCCCACTCAGTCTGATGGAAGCGCTGTACAACCCCAGCAGTCAGCAGGACCTCTGCACTCCCCTTTTTTGCTGGCGGGCCGCGCAGCGCGATCTACCCTAACCGCAGTCCTGCCTCTGCGGACCTCTCCCGACTGGCCAGCACCCCCCAATCCCCGCGTCCCCCACCGCTCCTTCGAGGGCGAGGGGGCGATCAGGAACACTAGGAACTCTCTCGCTGGAGCCATACGGTCAGGCACTATTGGACAGCGCGTCGCTCCGCCAGTTCTGGCCCACCACGCTTGGGCGCGACCCGCGATCCACTTCCCAGTCCTCAGGCGTCCATGTCCCGAGCCTTTCCGGGCCTCCCGCCCCGCGGGGCGGAGCGACACGCCATCCGTGTGCAGGGGATGGCGTGTCGCCGGGGCCGTCGCCGCGACACGCTAGGCGAACGTCCCTGACCGCCTGACCGTAGCTCGAGTTCCCAAGTGATGGGGCACGATCGGTCTGAGGGGTGTGCCGACATGGGCGGCGGCCCGTCTGCGAACGAGCCCTCTGGGGCTGGTGAAGGAAACGCCCCCTGTGGGGCAGGATGCGCGTTTTTTGTGTGTGCCGACATTTGCGGATGACCGTGTGCTGACGGGGCCACGAGACCACAGGGATGGGCCAAACCCAGGAGAGCATGGAACGTTTGGAAACCAGTTGTGGCAGGACCCTCGGCTGCGACCAGATGAGACGAAGCAATCGGCACGAAGCCAACGCATTGTTTGCGCAGCATTTGGAAGCGGTGTTCGACCGATGAGCTCCAGTCTTTTCACAGTTTGTCGACAAGTTGGGCACCAGGCAACGACGAGCCACGTTGTAAAGCAGACACATGAAGCGACGACCCATGTACCCATGTTTGTGTAGTACGTATGTCATATCTATACACATCTTATATATACACGTTTTCGGGTGTGCCCAGGAGGAAGAGGATGACCAGGTGGGATGGGTGACCTCTCCTTCTTTCAGCCTCCCATGGCCCCACCCGCCCGCGCACATGCCTCGGGCCTCGAGCCACGATGCGCTAACCCCCCTCGTCCAGGCTTCTCGTTTTGACGCACCCTGTAGCCATCAAGACATACCCCTTTTGCTGTACCCCTCCCTCCGAAAGCTGTTCGGGCGGGCGGGGAAAAGCCTTGCGGAAATGAGGCTGCCGCGACAAAGTGTAAGGTCGCTGTCTTCCTGATGCTCGAGGCGAGCTGAAAGGCAAACCATACGCTGTCAAACTTCAGGGGAAATCGCAGAGGCAAGCTCACCGCATGCGACAGGCGAACTAAGTCAACCGAGCCGCCCAATAATAGAGCAACTGAACCACAAGCTCAATGCAAGCGGGCAGTCAGCTGCATAGCATGCCAGCCACACGCGAACTGACAAGCAGCCATCTGACATCGATGCTGCAAGTGTGAATGGATGCGGGCAAGCGGAGAAGCCAACAGGCTGTTGCAAATCACTGCAACCACGAGCGAGCAGCAAGCAGGAATGATGCGTGTGTGCACTGGGCCATGTGTACGTTACAGGGGAGCTCATCATGACACCCAGACCACCGGCGTCATGTTGTTTTACAGCGGCGACCCCTGGAGGTCTGGACCCAGTCCCAGGGACCGTTGTTCAATCTGAGCTGTTTTTGCTTGACGTTTCTCGGGCCAGAGTCCGAACGCCACCAAACAAACGCCCCATGTCGAGTTGTCTACTTCACAGCGCGAAGACGATGTCTGGGCACGCTGCGCACCTGCTGAGTCGCCAGTTCGGTTGCGTCGGTTTGTTTCGGCCCCTTCTTGGGCCCCTGGTCGCCCGCCGGGCGGCGCGTCGTCTGCACGCCTCCCTGGCAGAAGCTGGCCGTTCACGTTTGCCGCGCGCCCGTGCACCGATACTGTCCCTGGCACAGGCCGAGCTTGCTGGTTGGGCTGCATCGGTCCGTGTCGGCATTTCCCAGGGCTGGTCTTTCATCCCGGAGCGTACTCGGGGCGCTGCGAGGGCGCCCAGAGGCCGATCTCGTTGAGCTTTTGTTGCTCAAGGCGCGAGGGCATGGGTGTCGGGCGGGGCTAGGACGGGGGTAAATCAGTTCCAGAGCATCCCGAGGGTTTGGGAGCGCTCTGAGAAGGCCGCGGCGCCCGAGAAAGCCTCCAGACCCGCCAGATCCCAGAGATTCTCGACTTGTCCTCACCTGATGTTATCCTCGTCCTGGCTTCGCCTTAGGTTGGGGGACTCGATTGATCGAGCTGCTCCCGGCTCGATGGCCCATTCGTCCTTCTGCCCCAGGGCGCCTGCGACCCGTCGCCGTCCCTCCTCGGGACCTCTCCTCGTCTCGGGGGTCCTCTCGTTCGCGAAGGGTCCCTTGGAGCGCCCGCCCCCCCCCGAGAAAGCAGGCGGCGGGCGCCTCCCCCCAAGGCCTCCGACGGTGGGGCTGTCTTGGACCCTGGCGGTTTTCCTAGGTTCTTCATCGGAAAGAGGGGCACCCATACCGCTAAGCTACCGGCAGGTCTCCTGGCCTCCTGGCAGGCCTTCGTCGCCACCGCTGGAGTCGCTTCGAAATTCTGTCAGAGCGCATCATCATCATCATCATCATCATCATCATCATCATCATCATCATCATCATCAGCAGCAGCAGCAGCAGCATCATCACCATCACCATCACCATCACCATCACCATCACCATCACCATCACCATCACCATCACCATCACCATCATCGTCATCGTCATCGTCATCGTCATCGTCATCGTCATCGTCATCATCATCGTCATCATCATCATCATCATCACCATCATCATCCTTCTCCTTCTCCTCCTCCTCCTCCCACTCCCCCTCCCCCTCTTCCTCCTCCTCTTCTTCCTCCTCCTCCTCCGCCCCCCTCCTCTTCCCCCTCCTCCTGCTCCTCCCCATCCTCCTCCTCTGCCCGCCTCTTCTCGAGGCGGAGGGGTGAGGAGGGGGGGAATCGGGAAGGCGCCCACCGATCTCGAAGAGAAGGCCGGCACAAGGGAGCCCGAGGAGGCGCCGAGCGAGCCCGCGGATTTAGACCTCATCGAGTTCGACTCTGGGACTCTTTCGCCATTGTCGTCGAAGACGAGGACGTGCACTCCGAGGCACGAGGGCCATCAGAACTTGGAGGGTGTTGAGGAGGTCAGGGAGGAACTGGAGGACAAGGAGGAGGGGGAGGAAGGAGGAGATGGAGGGCGAGGAGGTTGAAAGGGAATAGCAATAGTGGAATGGAACGCATTCCGGGAGAGGTCCGGCGAGGAGCAGCGCGCCCCGGATAATGAGTAGAACCCCCCCCGTAACCCCTGAGAGTTGATTACCCCAGGCCCAGAAAGAGTTGGTCGGGGTAAAGGGGCGGCGAGGCCGAATTGTATGATCGCCGGGGAAAGTACGTATCTAAGTCGCGACGTTCGTTTGTTGCATAACGTTTTAAGCAACATAAGTCATACTACGACTATCACTTCCACGACCATTATTACAATTGTTTCGAGTACTACTACTACTACTACTACTACTACTACTACTACTACTACGACTACTACTATTACGACTACTAGTACAACAACAACTACTACTACTACTACTACGACTACCATGACTAATACTATTACTACGTCTGCTGCTGCTGCTACTACTACTACTGATACTATTATTTCTACTACTACCACTACTACTACTACGACTACTACTACTACCATTACTACTGTTACTTCTCTGATTCCACTACTACTACTACTACTACTACTACTACTACTACTACTACTCCGCCTCCTACTACTACTACTACTACTACTACTACCACTACTACTACTACCACGACTACTACTACGCTACAACTACTGCGACGAGGACTACTAATACTACTACTACTACCACTACTACTTCTATTCCTATCGCTACCACATACGAGTAATACTTCTACCACTACTGCTATTATGACAACTCTGAAGAAGGGGAAACACATCGCCATTGTTTCATACGGCTACCACTTTAATTTTTACGCTACAAGTACCACTACCATTATTATTGCTACTACTACTACTACTACCATCCACTACTACTACTATTACTACTACTACTACTACTACTACTACTATTTCTACTACTACTACTACTACTACTACCACTACTACTATTACTATTACTGCTACTAGCACTACTATGACTACTAGAACGACTACTACTACGTCTGTCATTTGTACTAGCACTACTGGTAGTACGTCTATTATCATTACCTACCTTACCCTTAATATGACTACTACTACTACGTTTACTACTTCTACTACTACTACTACTACTACGACGACGACTTTGAGCACCACTACTTCTACTACTACGGCGGTTATCCCCACGAATCTGATTCCAAATACTATTACAACGTTCTAGCAATATTTCTTTTTTCTTTCTACTACTACTCCATTTATTGTTGATAGTACTATGACTACTTCTACTACTACTGCGACTACTTCCGCCACGATTACTATTACTACTCGTACTATTTGTTCCTGCTGCTACTACTACGACGACGAGTCTTCCGACTACGAGTTGCTATTCTATGTTCACCATGACTACAGCTACTACTACGACGGTTTGTATGTCTACGACTGCTGTTAGTATCACGACTCTTGCCACTACGAAACTATTGCTGTAATTCTTACTAGCACCACTACGGCAACTACTACGGCTATTGCGAACAAGTCAGACTATCATTATCAGTGCTACTACTACGGCTACTACTACTACTACTACTACCACTACCACGACTACAACTATAATTGCGACTGGTACTTTTACCACTGCAAGAACAACGATTGCAAACCGCACGACCACTTCTACAATGATTGCATATCTACATTTACTGATTACGGTTATTACCAGTACCACTACGATTACGAGTATTATTCCGAGTACGACCCACATTCTGATTACGACTTACGCCTACAACTACCCATTTACGCCCACTTACCACTGCGACTACTGGTACGTATTCCTCCTATGTTTATTGAATCGCTTCGCTCATTCCGCCGGCCCGTGATATGGCATCGCTGGTTTTTGTCTGTGTGTTCGTTGCCCATGTTGCGCTCTTGGGGGCGGGTGTCGTTCGGACGCGTTGCGTGGGGAGTTTTGATGGTGAAGCAGTTCCCTGGGGGTCGTCTCTCGATGGGGCGAAATAGAGTCGTCGTCAAGATGCTTCTTTGGGGGGCCTCTTGGGGTCTGTTGAGAGGCCGTTCGGGGGCGCCTGGGAGACATGTTTGAAGCCTTCTGGGGCTTCTTTTGGGCCTCCTGGGAGTCTCCTGGGGCCTCTTGGCGACATCTTGGGGCCTCTTGGAGGCCTCTTGGGGCCTCTTTGGGACCTCCTGGGCGCCTTCTGGGACGGAGGGCTCCATTTTTGAGTTCTCGGTATCCCTCCTGAGTCCCTCTTGGGCCCGTCTTGGGGCCTCTTGGTCCGTCTTGGGCGGCACTTGGGCCGTCTTGAGGGCTCTCTTGGGTCGTTTCGGCGCCGTCTTGGGAGCTTCGTGGGCCGTCTTGGAGCGGTCTTGGGGGCCTCTTGGGCCGTCTTGGAGCGTCCGGAAGCCGAAAAAGCCAGAACACAAACAAACATCGAAAAAACCAATGAAAATCAACGATTTTGGCCTCTTGGGGCTCTCTTCGGAGGCCTCTTGGAAGGCTCTTGGGGCGTCTTGGAGGCCTCTTGGGCTGTCTTGGGGGCCTTTTGGGCCGTCTTGGGGTCATCTTCGGCGTCTTCGAGCGCTCTTTGGGCGTCTCGGGGGCCTCTTGGGCAGTCTTGGGGGCCTCTTGGGGCACTCTGAGCGCGCTCTGGGGAGCCTGAGAGGCCGCACCCAGAAGGAAAACCATCTCTGAGTAGACTTGGTCGGGCGGCGGTCGGGCGGCGGTCGGGCGGCGGTCGGGGCGACCGGGCGTTGGTCGGGGTACTTTTCGCCGGGGGACCCCCAGGGGCCGCCCCGCGCGCGCGAACTAGAAATATTGTTAATACTGTTAACCAGTTACCGGAGATCTTAGCACGCCCTGGCCCGTTGGGCCGGCGAATTTCGAGGTCTACGGCTACCGACCTTAGTTTCACCCATGCGTACCTCTTACGACACATTACATACGTCTGCTACGAATACTTGTTTTTTCTACGAACGCCATTACTACGACTACTCTTACTACTACGGCTACTAGTACTACTATTCCTACTACAACTACGACTACGATTACTACTACTACTTCTACTACTACCCCCACGGCTACCACGGCTAGTGTTAT